GGCTGCTCGTAGGAAAAAGGAGTCCAAACCTCAGCTGTGCCCATCCACACCCCTCAATGCAAGCCCCTGGGTGTGCTCAGGATCGATGCCCCTCAAAGAAAAGGCACTGCCGTTCCACTGCCACCACATTCCATTATGTCCATCCAGCCAGACTGGCCAAGATCTGTTTTGGGGAGAACCCAAAATGGTTTTTGAGAGGAAGAGGACCTCTGGGGCAGTCTTTGCTGAGAGGAGAGGTAAAGAGGTCAGTGTATCAGAGGAAGCTTGTTTCTGTCTGCTGCCATTCAGGAACAGAAAAGCCAGTGTGCAGACAGTGTGGTGCCAAACTGATGCTGAGGACAGAGCCCTGCTGCTGGAACAGAGCCATCTACTCCATTGCTCAGTGCTACCATCACTTTCCAGGCAAACTCAGCTCCTTCAACTGCAGGCAACCGCAGTCAGTAGCACAGGGGATGAATTCTCCCTCTGAGTTGGACAGATGGGGAAAATATATACGTTTCACCATCAGTTCTTAACTCTCAGTTTAGTAGATAATGACCTACATAATCTTGGGAACATACTGAGTTTCTCACCATACCGGCAAGTAACCTTTGGGTGACTCAGAGAGTACACTGGAGCAGGACTGGCTTGCTGGGATACTTGCAGCCATACTACCAGCTGCATGGAGCTGCATTAGCAGCCCTCTCTCTGTTCTGAATGTCCTGGGCTTTGCAACACATCAGTGGTGGTCAATGCTCTGTGCTCCCAGCAAGCTGTACACTGAAGAGTAAGAATTTATAGGACCAAAACCTACATCTCTACTTTTCCTGTCCACTGCCTTAGCATTCACATGAGGATTGTCACCAGCTCAGCGAACACTGTTCTTGCCACACATGTAGACAGATAAACCCTCAGCAGAAAGCTTGTATGTGTGCACCAGTATGGCAGACAAAGGTGGAATAACATTTCAAAGGCAGTTTGGAGAGGTGCTATTACAAGAAGCTTGTGAAGAGAGAGGCAACCACTCACTTCATGAATACAGCAATAGTCATGAAGTAACATGAACGGTAACATGAACAGACTTCTGTAGTGTATGCCTAAGGCCAGAACTGCTGAATGTTATTTTCTATAGTGCTCAGCACCTCTCCTTGAGACTGATGCACTGAAATCCTCCACAGGCCTTGGAGGTATCCAGAAGATCCATCTGTGAACAGCCAAGGTTTGAATGCTAAGTCATGGGACCACCTGGCATGGAGGGTCATTTCTAAGCCCTTTTCAGGACCAGTTAAACACTCAGCTTCCGCACATCTTCAGTGAGGATTACTATGTCCTGAACACCAGATTTTGTCCACTGCCTTCCAGTTCCTCTTGTTATTCCTGGTCCCCATCTCTGCCTGTCCATATCAAAACAGTGACCCTCTGTTCATCTGCTCATGACAGAGCAAGAGAGACGTGCATCCTGTAGTCACAACACAGCCTTTCTCTGCCAAGTGAGATGGGAATCCATCCAACACCACCCCAAAGCCTCCAGTTCATTCTGTGCTCAGAGATTTCAGAGGCACAAGGTTACACCACTAATACATACCACAACCTTCAACAACTAAACACTACCATCAGCCAGTCTGGGGTCATGTAATCAGAACCAGTCCTCCTCACATGTCCAGCATCAGCTTTGAGAGTACTAGGATCAGCTTTTTTTCCCATTTACAAATTTCCCTCATTCCCCAGCTAAATTCAGCCCTTAGCTTGGTCCCCAGCATGTTCTTCCTTAGACAGACTGGCTTACCTCGGCAGTAAGGTGCTCTAAGGAGTCACGGATTAATGTGTCCCAGGTAACGGTCTGTTTGTAACCTGTAAAAAGAAAGAAATACCTTGTTTGGTGGACAGTGATGATATTTAACACCATACCTCATCACTGTGCCTTGGGCAAGGGTACAAACACCCCAGAGAACACAGAGCAATGGTGGGACCAGAATCACAGCCTTCTCAGCTGAGCAGACATGCTCAGCCAGACCAGAGCTCATGAGCTGCTGGTGTGTGCCTCTTGCTGCAGGCAGCTTCTGCTCCCAGCAGAGAGAGACCTTGCCTAGCCCTGCAGGTGTACCCTGCAGTGTGTAATTGTATCTGCTAGTGGGTTTTGGCCTGTGGACTGCTCTAGGATGTTGGGAGCGTGTAATAAACTAAAGCAAGCCAGGCAGAAGCAGATCCACTACCGGAGATGCAAGGTCCCAGCATTTTAGAAGACCGCACTTAGAATAACTATAAACCACAGGTGTACACTCAGGTACACTTGCTTTGTACAGGAACACTTGGACAACTTCACTGCATGTCACCTTAACAGTCTCAAAAATATCAGCTGCAAAAGACAGACCAGATTTCTGCTGGTCTAAATGGACATCACTCAGCTGAAGCCAGGGGAGACAACAGATTTACACCAGCACAAAGTCTGGTACAATCTGATTTCCCTGCCCCCAGACAATGGCCAAGTATAATTTTTAAGATAACAGCACTAAGCAAACTGATCTGGCAAGACTTAAAATATTCTGCTGTCTGCAGCCACACTTTAGGTGGTACAAAATTTTCCATGAAATGATAAAGAGGGAGGGAAGTAAGTAAAATGAACCAGAAAATGTCCCTGGGCTAAGAATTCATGGACTATCAACATGAAGTGAATATTTACAGCTACATTACTTATAAGGCCCTTGCAGGCAGGATTTATAATAGGAATGCAGATTCATCTTAATAGTATAGCTCCAACTGGGGGAGTTTAATTACTGCTCTGACATCCACTGCTGCATGCCCAGCCATGCCATCCTCTTGGCAGCTTTCTTCATCTGCGCATATTACACTTGGCGTAGGAGGCTCCATTTCCCTGAAGCCTTATGGTGAAGGGAGACATTGGCATGGTGCCTCGGTATGCTCCTGGCCCACATCCAGCTGTGTCTGGCTGTCTGTCTTTCGGGACTGATCCACTGCTTGGGTTCCTTGGTTGCTTATGAGTGTCATCTGTGCATCCAATGAATTACAGCCCATTACCGAATGGGGCTGTAAAGCATTTGATTTATTATCCCTTTCTCCACTAGATCTTATAGCCAGGGTCTCTTTGGTATTGTGCTCTCTGCACGATCCAGGCAGGAGAGAGTAGGTACAACACTGGCTTTACTTGCTGCATAGGGTAGAGATCCCACACCTCTGCTAGCTATGGCTCTGTCCCTGCTGCTGATGGATGTGTGTACACCCAGCTGGCTTTTTCTTCTCTCTCTCTTCTGTTTTTAATTTCTCTGAGCTCTCAGTGCACCTTTCACTGGTGGTGCACACATTCTGTGGAGCAGCGCGAACATATGGGGCACCCATTTGCTTATTCATTTCTCCTGGCAGCAGCATACAGAATGTGCACAGGACTTGTTTCCTCCCCCAGCTGAGCCCTCCTTGTCAACTGAATCAAACTCAGCACTATACCTATTAGGGAGCTCCTTTGTTCTACATTCCTGATCCTGGGTTATTCTTTTTGTGACCTTAAGGTATTTTCAATGTATGTCGTCTCTCTTTACCGGATGCCCTTTTTTATTTTCACAGCCCTGTGGTACCTCCTGATTGGAAGTAATTGTGCCATATATTAGATCTTAGCTTTCCTCTTAACAAGAAACAGCTTAGCTCTTTGCAGTATCACCCATCTGGCCCCTCAGAGGCTTTTTTGTTCCCAAGGATGCTGAGGTTTCTTCCAGTATGTCCAAAGGTGCCCCATACTTGAGGTCCATGCAGGTAAGTTGCATGGACTACTGATATTCCGCCATCTCATGCTGTGGAAGATAGGAAGAGGACTCCTCATGACTGTCATGGATGACATGGACATGTCATCCCCATGGACTACCATGGTACTGTCATGGTAGCTACCTATAAATTTACCATTACACCCAAAAGGCAATACTGGCAGTGCTTAGCACTTAGCAAGAAATTCAAAGCACAGCTAAATTCATATTGATGGGCAGGACTTCTGCTCTGCCAGCCACCAGCAGGGCATATGGCAACATTTAAATGGTTTGATTCTTCCTGGAAAGCTGAGATTGGAGAGGCAGGTTTAGAGCCAGCCTTCCTGCTCAGCTTCTTCAGCAGATTCACACATAGAGACTGATAGAGCTGTGAGCTTCTCTGGAGCTAATTCTCTCTGGGCTTCAGCCAGCCTGGGAATAATACCACTCTTACCTTCCCAAGGTAGGTGGAAACCAGGTGGTCAGTCCATAGGCTGACTAGCTGAACTCAACACTGCATCTCATTCAGCTCTTTGTCTGTCCACATCTCCCATCACAGTAATGCTGAGTCAGACACAGCTGCTTCACCTTTGTTGGATAGTTTCCTGCACTGAGCAACCAGCTGGCACCTCACCACATTTATTTTCTGGTTTCAAAACCACCTCATGATTATAGCTTCAAGGAAGCCCATGTATCTGACTGTTTTTCCTGTAGGACCTGGGACTGGAAGGAACATTCCTCAATGAAGTGCTCTACAAAAATGCAACTTTCCTTAACTTGGTGGATCCCATCTCCCACGACTTGTTGATGAGCCTCGCTAGAGATCTGCAGTGTCCCAAAAAGGTGAACCCTTCCCCCAGCCCAATGAATATTTTGCAACATAACACTGATACGAAGAGAGCCCAAGCACAGTGGTGGGTGGTGCTCTGCAGTCTTTCAGGACCAGCCAGTGTATGCCCTTGGAGTGGTAGCATATAGATTGTGGTATATATTTCTGTAGAAATGAGTTAAAACTACCTCAGAACATGAATGCAGCTGAAGGAGGGGAAGGGGGCTGTTACGTGCACAGAAATCACTATTTTTGTGCCAATAGTAAACTTGATAACGGGGTACAGGCCAGATAAAAATATATGGGGTGGACAGTGGTGCCATATTCCCTGGGACACCCCAGAGGTTCCAAGCAGCTTGCTTATCAGGGGGCTTGCGGGGCTGCAGAGGGGAACAGAGATCTCTGTGCACCTCTGCCCAAATTGATGCCCCTGCAAGAGAAGGAGAACCACCTCTCTCTTGCCAGGGCCTTTGCTATATATAACTGCCCTCACCCAGCATTACACCCCCCCTCTAACCTTCCAGATCCCTAAGGGCAGTGCTGTAGGAATATATTATAATTCAGGGCCCAAGAAGCAGACACGACAGTGCACAGTACCCCTGAACTGCTTCAGCATGTTACTTCAGAGACAGGAGAGCAGAGCAAGGCTGGGTGTAGACAAACATCAAGGATACACAGTCCCACTGCAACAGCGGTATCTTTCTGTTACCAGTTTTGTTTTCTAACACCAGTAACTTTTGTTACTCTTTGCTACCGCAAACACTTGGATTTGCAGTACATCCATTTACTCATCAGACTTGGCAAGTGTCATGTTTGCTTTATGAGGAGAGCAAGAGTGAATTTCTTTATTCAAAGACAGATACGACTTACACAAAGCTCAGAGCAAACAGCAGGGCCCTAGGGAATACACTGAATGCTTGCTGTAGATTCCTGGCATTTCTAACCTTGTTCTGTCATCTCCTGATGCTCTCATAACACTTAACCTGTCAGGTGTCAATAGACAAAGCACATTTAGACAAAGTTCAATCGTCATCATTGGGCTGCAAAGCAGCCTATCTAAGATCTTTTAAAGCGTAATTTTAGTGCAAATTTTATAAGCATCTAAAAAGGAAGCGGGTGGGTTGCAGCAGCGCCTCTTAACCATACTTCATTTGACCTCACCTCCAGCTGTTTTACCAGACCATCTCCAACCTCACACTGTGCAGAGCCCTTCAGCACGACCTTACACAGGTACCTAGCAAATAACACACTACAGTTCTTACCTACCTGCATATACTTCTCCTCCTCTATTTTCCATGTGTTATGTGACACATGTACCATTATACAGATTAGATTTTCCCCATTCCTAAGGAAAATGCTGAGTACCTGAGCTGGCCCTCAAAACCAACAGGAGTTTAATTAAGGGGCTGGAAACACTCAGTACCCTACGGCACAAACCTTAGCAGCCCACGTCCCCTGTCTGAGCATCTGGTGAGTGTAACTGCATTACAGGCAAGCAGGCTGAGTGCAATTCCCAGTCTGTCAGTGGAAATTAAGTCAGTGAGGACACGGGAAAGAACAGGACAGTAATTCTGAGTTGTGAGCCAACAAATGCTTTCAGAGCACTGTGCCAGCTTCTGCGCTGAAGCCTGCAGTGCACGTGCACCCACTTGGAAAGGTTTGCTGTTTTGGTGACAGCAGGGTGCCACTTGCAGCCTTGCCAGCATAGCAGTAGCCTAGAACAAGGCACCTAACCCAAGGGCATGGGCCAGTCCCTGTGGGGTTCTTAGGGGACCTGTGACAGGGATGAGGGAGTACTCAGCTTAGCACTTAGGCTAGGATCCCCCTCTACTTGGCACAGCACAACAGCCACATGCTGGCAGCACATCCCTGGAGAGTTGAGCTGATTCAGGGACTGCTGAGGAAAGTCACAGTGCAGCTGCTGGCCCATAGCACAGCGCTGTAACCACTTGCCATAAAGAATGAATTAGCATATTCCCCTACAGCTTACTATGTGTTTACCTACCAAATGCCTAAATGCACATGTTGCACAACAGCTGGAGGGCTGAGGAATGGGAATGCAGGTATCTGCCAGCATTTAGAAAATACGATGAAGAGGGCAGAAATCCCGGCCTTCAGCAGCTGCCATTTGCCATTCTGCTTCACCAGAGGAAGAGAGGTGCTGTTCAAAGCCATGGCAATAGAGAATACATGCAAAAATAAACTCAGGAAGGTAACAATCATCTTAGTGCCACCTTTTCCTGACGGATTACTACTGCAGGGGCTGGAGGGAACTGCTGGCATTGGGAAGCGCCCAAACTCAAACCTCCAGGAGCAGAATGGATGCAAGGATGTAAGATGGAGTATGGGGTACTCATTGGTTCCCTGTCCTGCTATCTCCCAGCTGGAGCACGGGAGGGAACAAAGTCAGGGTGCTACTGCAGAAGGAGCGGGGATGTCCCATAGCACATCCAGCAAGCAGCACCTCAGGGATGGGGCAATGTGCCAATTGCTAAACTTTCCATATCAGGGTAACAGATAAGTCGGTCCAAAGACAGTATGTAGTGAGACTTTGGGAAGCGTAGCAACAAGGTCATTGAGAGAAATTTAGCAGTCCTGTACCACACTGTTGGCAGCTTGTCTGCACAGCTGGGGACAAGTGCTGCTGAGGATACAGCAGTGAGGAGTTGAGACACCCATGCTGTCCCTGCATTGGGCTTTCAATAACAGTGGAAGTCTTCTGAAGAAAAGGGTGTAGGGGGTCCCTGCACACAGCCCCTCACACTGTCAGCCACCTCTGCCCTCCTGAGTGTTGCCTGGCCTAGAGCCAGACTCCCTGCCACAGCTATAGAAAATAACCCCTCTTCTGAGCTTCACTTGCTCCTGGGTAGGCTGTGAAAGTTTAGCCCCACTCTGGGCAAGAACATGTTGGCTGGGCTGGGGTCTTTTCTGGCAGTGCACAGCTCCTGCTGCTTCTCCTCCACCTCAGAAGGAGATGGCATGTAGCAAAGGCACCTCAGGCCTTCTCATCACTCTTCTTTCATCCTCTCTTTCTCTTCATCTCCTCCCTTATATACATGCACCTGCTCCACTACCACCCCTGCTCCTTTTCCATCTTCCTCTGTTTTCTCCCTTGCCTTCTCTTCTGCTGTGGCATACACAGAGTCTAAGGTGCCCCTTTGCTTTCAGGAATATGACCCCTGGAAATCCTCAGACAGGATCTGCAGGCAGCTGATTTACCACCTAACCCCCCACTCGAAATGGCACCGGCACGGCATGTCCCGGAGGAAGTCCCAAGTGTGGTAAGCAGCATGGCAGGGACACTGTGGATGGGCATGGAGGGGGATCTACCAGGAGAAATTGTGCTGCAGCCCAGCACCACCCCAGCCTGCCACTGGGATGCCACTGGCCTTCTCAGAGAAAGGTAGGACTGAAAGCCTGCATGGCAGCCCCTGCTCAGTTTCTTAGAAAGCCCCAGGCAAGAAGCACAGGGTCACTACCAACACCCCTCTCCTTGACCTGGTTTGCTATTTACTCCTTTTTATGTAGTCTTATAGTTCCTCAACCTCTCCCAAGTGCATCAAAATCAATCCCACTGATTGCAAAGTGAAGACAACTCTCCTGGCAGGGCTGGCAGGGTGTCTGGCCCTAGGAGCATGGCAAAGGCTGGCAGCCTTGCACATACACACACCCATGAGCCAAGCTGAGATGGCCCCCAGCTCTGCATCCCACTTTGTCCTTGTTTATCCCAGTAAAATTTCTCAGCCTGTAGGGAAGGTCTCCCATTAAAAGGCACCACCAGAAGCTGATCACCCCACTCAGCAAGAACAACTGTGGAATGGCTGACAGAGAGGTGACCATCTTTACTTACCTCCCATTTCTCTGCCAGGACTAGAAGGACCTGAGATGGTGTAAAACCTCAAGTACAGGGAACCCAACTCAAAGTACGCTGGCCACTGACAGCTCCTGAATGTCAGCTGCTTTTCACTACTACAGACATATCAGACACCCACACTTGTTCTCTCCTTGAGATCTGATGGCTTTTCTAACCAGATAAAGAGCAGTCCCTACTTCTTTTAAATCCACTCCTTCTTTCCTCATTTTCTTCAATCAAAGCCTGTTCCTGTGACACAAATCATCACTGCTAAAGAAAAGACAGACAAATTAGTAAGAAAAGAGCTCATGTCAGTCCCATGAGCTTCTTAGGAATAGAATCATAGAATCAACCAAGTTAGAAAAGATCTTGAAGATCATCAATGCAGGACTGGATAAAAAAAATGCAAAATTGGCAGCACTCTGAGAATGGCCTTGGGCTCTTCTGAGGCTTTCAGTCTTTGCTGCGTGTGCCAGCAACTTAAAATTCCCCATGGAATTGCCGTTTCCACTGTACCTTTCATTCTGACTCAGAGGCAGTGCATCTTAAGCAATAAAATCCCTAATACCATGATTTCCAGGCCATCTGCCTCTCATACCTGTAGCCCCATTTTACCACTGTGAATTTCAATGGTCTCAATCCCAGCACTCCACAGGGCAGGACTGTTCGTGCTGGTTTGCAGGTGGGAGCCACAGCACAAAACAAGACTGAGGGACCAGAGATTGGTGAGTCCTTTTCCAGACCCACTCGGTTAGATGACATTTTCCCTAAGGGATCCTGCAGAGCACTAGAGATGCAGGATATAGAGAGTAGGTCAAACCTCATCCCCATCCAAGACAGAAAGACTTAAAGATAAGAAGTGCTGAAAATTCGTAGAACTCGATAGAGGGTGGCTGTCTCCATTCCATGCTGAAACTCACCCCCATTCTGGTTTTCCAAGTGAAAAATCCTTCCCTGCTGCTACTAACTCAACCCTCTGCCTCCGTACTCCTGTTTGCAGGACAAACCTCTCCTCTAGTTGGACTTCGGGCTGGAAAGTCAAACTGGAAATGTTCCCCAACTGCACAGTCCAGGGAGAGCAGAGGACTGCCTGCTGCAAACTCATCACTTGCTAACAACACAGAGAGGAGGTCTGTGGCCAGAGGAAGAGCTCTGGGCCCCATGAGCCCAAATCCCACACAGAGGGGTCAAGCCAAAAGGTACAGGGCATTGGCCAGAAACAGAGCATCTGTGAACATAAGCAGGGAGAGGGCATCAAGACAATATGCAATGGAGGGAAATACAGGTCTAAAATGGGCAGCCCTGCCTGGCAGTCAGGCCCAGCTGCACAGTATTACATAAAGCACAAGATAATTGTGATTAAGTATTAAACAGCAGAGCTTTACTTTTAAGACTGGAGAGGAATTGGTTTGCAGCAAAAGACACCTGCAGAGTTGATACTTGAGGCTTCTGCAAGAAAACGGATGTTGTCAGTAGCAGGAAGGCAAGAAATACCCACTTCATTTGGAGATGCAAACACCTGTTTTTGTCCAGATGGGCTGATTTGATGACTTCAGAGACAGTGTCTGCCTCTGAAGCCCATGCCCTTGGCTTGCACCCTTCCTGCCATCATCAAGGTCCTGTAAAAAGTATGGGTGTAGCAGTAATATTTTGAAGGCATTTCTAAAATCTAGTGGGCATCTGGGACAACAGGAATCAGTGCATGGAGACCACACTGAGAAAATGAATTCATTTTCCTCTTGCTTTTGTGATCCCCTGGGCTTTGGCTTCTGGCTTTCACTGAGCTGATGGAGGGCCCCCTTGTTCTCTTCTGAAATGTGATTTCTGCTTTCTGGCAGCATGTTAGATGGGTCGAGGAGATAATTAACAAGAGAGCTTCCAGCATCTGCCATGTTCTAATTATGTTTGGGCTGTTACGGAGATGTGGTATGGGAGATGGAAAGGACCTGCAATACTGGCTCCAGATCACACATCAGGTGTTCCTCCCCACTGCCAAATAGCAAACCAGCAGGTCAGAAGCAAACTACCTGTAGTTACATCCCCCTATTCTCAATAGGACCCACAGCATCCAGCAAGTAGAAACCTAAGCCACTCATGTACTAATAAAGCAGAAATAATAAGGTACATTTCTTACAGGCCAGAAGCAGAGTCCGTACAGAAACATGGAAGGAGAAAGCTTATAGCAGCACAGTGAACTCTCTGCAACAGTAGAAGACATCCAGCCCAGGCTGCATCTATTTTCTCTGCCTGATTAAACTGTCAAAGGTGATGCTGAGAGGCAGTTTGCCCTCTGCATCTATGCCTGTGAGTTCTTGACAATGGCTGTCTGCCTTGTACAGTGGAGGGTTAGCAGTGTTCCAGCTATGCAGTCACCCAAAGAGACTATTTCAGCTGCCCAGATGATACTCAGAAAGCTTGCCGTACTGACAGCAAGGGCTCAATTCTCCTTTCCCGCAAAAGCCTGTCTCAGGTCTGCAACTTCCAGCCAACAGCCACACCCCACTTGCAGCTGACCTTATTGGGTTGGCTGCCTAACCAAACAGAGAAGGTGGGATCCTGGGGGATTTAAAATTTAAAACAGAGAAGCTGGAGGATAAGACTTCACAGCAGGGACCAGCACGACTTTGCTGCACAATTTTCAGTCCCTTATATCCTCCTGGGAATTCGGTTTTAGCAGCATTTTACAGTTGTATAGATCACTCACATTTAATGAGCAGAATACATCCTAGAGTGTTCTGTAACTCCAGCTTCACTTCCTTATTAAATGGACATTTACAGTGTAAAAAGAGTAATGGATGAAGAAATGCTGCTCTACACATGTGGACTTTTTAGGCTATCAACACAACTTCTGGGGAATTTTGACAGATGCAGGATTTTTTTGTATTATCAATTCTTGTTTTCAGAAGTTGAGACCTTCTGCAAAGCTAAATTAAGGAAAACTGTATGTGCTGTGCAAGTGCCACCATCTACCTCTAGAACAGGGCTGGACCCAAAGAGTGTATTACTTTCTGAGGGCAAGGTACACTGGATTCAGAGTGGAGAGGGAAAGGGTATCAAGTGAAGACAGTCTTTGCTTGGAGAGCTGGGTCACAGCCTAGTGCTGCAACTAAGCTGTGGATTACAACTGAGCTGTCTTGGCAAAAGCCATGTCAGGGAACCTTAATGGATCTTCCACTTGCCTCATCCCCAGAGCTGGCTACTTCAGTGTAACTACTTCCTTTCTTAAGTGCAAGGATCAAACCTGAATCCACAAAACACGCAGTCAGTAAACACAAGATGATCTTTACAATCAGGGTGTTCTGGGCACAAGAAAACAACCAAAAAACCATCAGATTTTCCACATGGTGACTGGTTCTGGAAGAGCAAAGGCAGTTGTGTGTATGGAGTTAGTAACTCCCAAACTGCATGCATCTGAGCTTTCTGTTTCACAGGTCTCACCACAGTTTTACTTTGCTCATCTGAGTGAATTTCATCTTGGCTAATCCAAAGTTGGGTGGAGAACTGAGTATCCCTTCTGGGCTCATTGCTCCATTTATCAATTATTAATGTGCATTGTTCAGATATTGTGGCATTAGATGCACTTTCAAAATGCAATGAAAGCACTTCTGTCTACAAGACTGCAAGGAAATATCTTTAAAGGGCTTTGGATCTTTTTTTCTTGAAAACATCACTCAGGGCTGTGGATAGCAGCTCTGACAGATTAAATCCTAGCCTTTACATGGCATGAGATGAATATTAACTACAGCTTTATGTCACCCTTATGCAACAGGGTAAACAGGCCTCATCATCCCTGCTTAAGCGATAGGAAGCCAAGTTAGAGAATACCAGTCAGTAAACTAAAACCACATGGTAATAGTCATATGGGAGTACAAGAACTGCCCCACACAACGTTTTCAAGAAGCTGCTGCTCACAGAGATGTTATCTGGACAGAGACGAGCTGGTGAATAAGTTTTGGAAAGGCAGGAACTATCCCCTCATCTTACAGTGAAGAGTCCCAAACAATATGCATGGTCAGGGTTCCCAGCAGCATCGAGAGGCAGGTATATCTGCAGAGGCTGTTGGAGATGGTAGAAAGGGTCATCCAGCAGCTTAACACTGCCCTGTCATAAATCAGAAGAGGAACTCCGAGCCTGGCAAGCAGAAGCTGCAGGACACTGATAGAGAGAGAATAAGTGAAACAATGGAGGCTGGGTGACAGATGGTAGTTAAAAGGAATCAGCAGAGACCTTGTGCCTTCATGACTCTTACACAGTTCAAGATCTGACAAAGACATGGGCCAATACAGGACACTTACAGTGAGGAGGCAGCATTATTTGCTGCATTGCTAGGATAGACCTAAATAATGAGGGGAAACAACTAGAGGTCCTGGACAGATCATGTGGCAGCAGGAGGGATGCTGAGGGTTCACAGCTCTCTTGAACACACCT